GCGCGCTTAGATCGCAATTCTTTTCCCTGTCAGAGGCGGCATGCCGCAGTGTACCATAAGGCTCCCGCAACGACTATGTGTCTCCAACTTTGGTGTGAGGAGTGTTCCACTCGTCCACATTCAAAACGGAGGACCTTGAGAAATGTTGGTTATCACCATTTCCGAGACCTCTAAGGTGGAGATGTTCGGGATCAGCGCGTTGGATTAAGGAAGCAAAAAAATTTGAGTTGGGAAACCGAGCTGCTGCTTTTGAACCTACAGATCCAGCCTTTGCTCCTACTCTGAAACGTATTCCATACTCATAGGTTCATGGTAATCGTGACAACTCATTTCACCCATAATAGAGTAATCCTTTCTGTTGGTTTACTTCAAGTGAGCTCATCCTGCTTTAGTGTTCTTTCGTTTCGTTTATAAAGAACACCCTTACCGTATAACGCTCCTTCCCGTTTTTTTTCAGCTTCTTCCTCATGCACTCACTGCATAACTTTAAACGTAAGTAGATATAGAGCTGAAAGTTGAACACGCTGCAAATGTTCGTGACACTTGGCCTAAACGGTAAAACCGTTGAGCATGTTGACGTGTTCAACTAGATATCGTCAAACATCTTGACATGCTCAACGATTCTCGATTTCGTCATCAGTTTTAGCTTTGTTTCTGCCTTACATTTTCAGGCATGACTTACACCCATTCATGATGGACGTTTGAGCAGCATATGCCTTGTAATAATCGATGACGTTTTGCTGTTTTGAAAGCCTACCTCTTGTCGACGATCGTATGCTCTTGACATTGGTGATTGTACGATCATCCCAGTTTTTTGTAGAGGCGTATGCTGACTTTCAAGTGTTGATTGAGTTATTAAGCGTCCACTCCACAGCGCTGCTTTCAAAACCCCTTGTGAAATTCATTAACTCAAACAAACTCACACGCTTTCATCTCTACGCCTTCATAAACTGGGATGATGGTTATTGCCAAAGAGAGAAAAAACCATGCTTTCCATGCGTATGATGCAATCTTACTTTACTGTGATTCCCATGCACTTTCGACTACAACATGGGTAAAAGGAGTTCACAGAGGACTCCACCTTGAGTCCTTACCTTTCTATATATTTTTGCTTTTGTACACAAATGTCTTGTCTTCACCTTGGAAAGAACTAGATGCGCCATTTGAACATTGCTCTAGCTAAAGCATTAACGGATCTACATTTATCCAGTAAATGCCTTTGCTGGTCATTTTCAGCGCTGTGCATGAAGCACTGTCTTTATTTTCCGACAAGAGGACACAGTTTTACGAAGAAGAACTCAAAGTGGCCCGCCTCAAGCAGAACAAACTTCAGGTAGAAATCCAAGTAGCAGAACTGAGGATAGAGGGAACACGAATGCTGCCGGAGCTGCATGGCCGCGATACAACACAACCACCACCGCAGCGCCTCGCTCCCGACGTCCATCCACTAGCGAATCACCTATTTTTGATCAAATGCAGATGAGTAGTTAGTCTGTGAAGTCTTGAAGTCGACCTTCGATGTAATTGTTCAAAGAGTAATCCACTACAGTGTGGACCCCGGCCAGCTTCCCATAGAAAGCGCCGCGGCGCACACGCAGCGCGCGTTCGGCTTGATGCCTCTGATCTCGTCTGGGGGCAGAAAAGCAAATCTACCCACAAATAGGAATAAACAGGAAGTGGAAACTT